AGCATAATATTTATGATAAAAAAAATCAACAAAAAAATTAAGAATGAAAGAGATCCTTGTATTGTAATGTAAATTATAAATTAGTCCATCTTATTTCGAGAAATGAATTAATTAGCCGTTTTGATTTCAAAAACTAATTATTTTATCTTTTTAATCGGCTTGACTATGATTAATTTAAAATTTCTTATTTTATAAATTTTTTTTTCATGTTTTTATTTCTTAAAACAAAAAATCAAAATAAATTGAAAAATAACGAAAAGGATAAAAAAAATTTTTGAACTAGAGGGATTAATTTATTTTTTTCTCAAAGAGAGAAGGACTAATTTATAATTTACACTTGAATAGCAATGACTCCTCTACGAAAATAAGAAGGAGAAAAAAAAATCAAAGATTGGAGACTTAAATGCTATGCCTTAAAAGAAAATGAAATGACGAGAAAAAAGCTCAATAAGAAATTTAAAAAGAGAATCAATCAAGGACAAGCATGAAAATTTTCAAATCCATTAACCGGCAAAAATAGAAATTAACAAAAAGCTAGAGGTGAAAATCAAGCAACCAACCATGTTCGGGAAGACAATCGGACGACTACGAGAAAGGCACACCACCGATGGACGAACTAGATTAAATAAAAATGTTAAAATAGTGCACTCGAGTCATAATTAAAGATCTAGAGCAATAGTAAAGAAACAATGTTCCTACACTATCACTTTAAAGAAATGGAGAAATGGCACAGCGGTATATTGTATGTGCTCAACACACCAATTCTCGACCCCTTACCTAAAGGGCCTCCGATAAGGAACGGCTACACTTGAGAAATGGAAGCTTGATGACTTTCAAGAAAAGTGTTACATGCTCACTACTATGACCAATGAATTGCAGAGGCAACATGAAAAGATAAATGATTCCCATTCTATTCTTCTTCACTTACAAGAGTTTTCTAGTGAGCATAACGAACTGCAAGATATAAGATATCGAAGCAATCATTTCGTACAAAGATGAATGAGGGTACTAATATTGGAGCTCAAGTCCATAAGATGATAAGTGTTATTAAGCAATTAAAGTGTCTAGACTTAATGATGGAGTTCAACCGCCAAACGGATTTGATCTTTCAATCCCTTCCGGATTCTTTCTCACAATTCATTGTAAACTTTCACATGAACTTCTAGAGTTGTTAAACATGCTTGTAACAGTCACAAATCTATGGCAAAAGAGAAAGAGGTTATTGTTGTTGCTTCTTATTCTAGCAAGACTAAAAAGAAGAAAGGTAAAAGAAAGACTTCAAACTTCAAGCCTAAAGGTGGTGTGTCCAAAGACAAGGCCAAAAAGAAGGTGGATAAGGAAAAAGCAAAACTATTTCCATTGTCAATAAGTTGGACATTGGAAGTGTAACTACCCAAAGTACTTGGAGTTCTTAAAGGGCAAAAGGAATAACAAGCCTTTTAAAGTATGTCTTTATCATGTTACTTAAGTTCCATTAGTTCAAGTGATTTATAAAATGCTTGGATTCTTGATACGAGTGCAAGTTATCATATTTATGCTTTTATGTTAGCAAGTAGTGAGAGCTTGGAGAAGGATGAGGTGACCCTAAAGCTTGGAGATATAGCAAATGTTGTGGCCAAGGCTATTGGATCAACCTTTATTAATCTTAAAAGAGATATTTGTTCAATATATTATAATGATAATAGTATTGATAAAGGTTATATGGTTGATGGTCTTTATTATTTGGATAATAATAATAATAAAATAACTCCAAGTGTATATGAAGTTAATGCTATGATAATATCTAATTATAGTCAAAAACATCTTTAGCACTTACGATTGGGTCATATTGCAGATGATAAAATCACTAAGTTAGAGAAAATTGGAATTTTGAATCCACTTGGTAATATACCAAATCCAACATATGGATCTTGTATTCAAGGTAAAATGAGTAGATCACCTTTTGTTGGTCAAGTGGTAAGAGCCAAAGATGATTTAGAACTCATACATAGTTTTGTATGTGGTCCATTTAGTACAATGGCTAAAGGTGATTTTTTCTATTTCATTACATTTATCGATGATCTATCAAGGTTTGCATATGTATATATAATGAAACACAATAATGAATCCTTTAGAAAGTTCAAGGAATTGAAATGTGAAGTGGAAAAACAAAAGGGAAAGAGTATTAAGGCTCTTCAATCAAATTGAGGAGGCAAATACTTAAATATTGAGTTCCTTCAATTTCTTAAGGAACATGACATAGTTTCATAACTCATCCCTCCCGGAATATCACAGTTGAATGGTGTATCAAAAAGGAGGATCGTACCTTATTGGATATGATGAGATCCATGATGAACTACACTGATTTACCTATTTTCTTATGAGCATTTGCACTTTAGACCGCTCGTTATATCCTTGACACAGTTCCTTTCAAATCTATCCTAACTACTCCATATGAAATATGGAGTAACAAGACAAGAAGTCTTAACCATGTTAAGATTTAGGGTTGTCTAACCTTTATGAAAAAGTTAAAGAATGATAAGTTAGAAGCTAGATCAGTAAAAGGTAGGTTTGTTGGATCCCTTAAAGGATGTTGAGGGTATTACTTCTTCTTATAGAACAAACAATTGTTATTAGTAGGGATGTTATTTTTCTTGAAAAAGAGTTTATTCAAGAAGGTGATAAAGGTAGGAAGATAGAATTGGATGAAGGGTCATCTAAAATGATCCAACAAAATGATCAAATGCAAATTAACTAACCTTGTGATGAACCCGATACTATTGATGAAATAACTACACTAGCACCTCGTAAATCTAGTAGAATATCTCACCCACTAGTGAGATATGGTTTTCTTCATCACAAACAATAGTTGTTTGCTATTGAAGATATTGATCATAGAGATGATCCTAGTACATATGAGGAAGCTATGTCGGATATAGATTCTTAAAAAAGGCTAGAAGCTATAAAGTTTGAAATGGATTCCATGAATGCTAACTAAATCCGGGAACTTGTTGATCCACTCAAAGGCATTGTATCTATAAGGAACAAATGGATTTTTAAGAGAAATATTGATGTAGATGAAAAGGTGGAGACCTTTAAAGTAAGGCTTGTCGCTAAAGGGTTTAGTTAAAGACAAAATGTTAACTATGAGGAGACCTTCTCGCCATTAGTCATGCTTAAATCCATTACGATATTATTAGCTTTAGTAGCACACTATAGTTATGTCAAAATTGCCTTCCTTAATGGTTCCATTGAGGAAAACGTTTTCATCGTACATCCTAAGAGTTTTGAATCAAAGGATAACACCAAGGTGTGTAAACTTAATAGATATATTTATGGTCTTAAGCAAGCTTCGAGAAACTGGAACCATCGTTTTCATAAATCTATTGAATCCTTTGGATTTATCAAAAAATGAAGATGAATCCTACGTATGAACTGTGTATTTACAAGAAGGTTAATGGAAGTATACTCACTTTTTTTTATCTTATATATGGATGACATTTTACCGATAAGAAACAAATTGGAAACACTTCGACTCTTTTAGTTTGTGCTCCGATAAACAATAACTACATTTTCATTTTCTTGTAGTTATAACTAGTTTTTTGGCTCGTGTTATGTTGCGGGTTTGGATATGATGTATAAAATCGTTTAGAAAAATATATGAAATCAAAGGTAAAAAAAATTATTTATAATTTTATAATCAAAATTTTTTGTATTTAACTATTTCTTATTTGTGCTTTTCATAATTTTTTCTTTAGAAAAATGATTTATCCTTATTAATCCATGGAATATTAACTAAAAAGAAAATTAAATAATTTTATTTTAAAAAAAATTTAGTATTTCATAAGATTGTGTCGAAAAGTATAAATATCAACTATTAAAAGCTTATATAAAATTAAACAAATGTTTTATTTATTTATTTATTTAATGTTGATAAGAATATCGATTTTTTAAAAAATATGAATTTAATTTTTATATATTTATTTACAAAAGAATGAATAATATTAAAATAAAAACTATATTAATTTGAATCATTGAGTGGTTGAGCCAAAACGTTATTTTAATTATTTAATTTATAAATAAATAAATAAATAGTATATGCTTAGTATAGAAAAATAATATTATTATAATATGGTTATAATATTAATAACATATGACTATATTAAAAAAAAAAGACAAATTAAAGTACTAAATTTTAAATAATTAAAATAAAATACTAAAATAAAATTGGATCAAATCACAATATAATTAAAGTTTGAAATTTTAATAACAATTATTAAAAGCTTATATAGAACTCGAATATTATTTAAGGTTGATGAGGATATCAGCTTTTGAAAAAATACGAATTTAATTTATATATATTTATTTACAAAAGAATGAATAGTATCGAAATAAAAAAAACTATATTAATTTGAATTATTGAGTGGTTAAGCCTAAACATTATTTTAATTATTTAATTCAAAAATAAATAAATATATAATAAATGCTTAGTGTAAGAATAATAATTTTATTATTATATGATCATAATATTAATAACATATGATTATATTAAAAAATGATAAATTAAAATAATAAATTATAAAAAATAAAAATAATTAAAAGAAAACACTGAAATAAAATGAGACCAAATCATAATACAATTAAAGTTTAAAATTAAAAAAAAATATAGAAAAATTGAGGATCAAAATATTAAAAAAAGACATAAATAGCAAAAGAAATAATGATTTATAAAGATGTAAATAGTAAATATGAATAGTAATTGATGAGTATGTGAATAGTATTTAAAATAATAAAATAATAATATTTTACTTTAGTTTTTTTCAGTAACGTTAAACCTTGATCTCTAGAAAGTGACGAAATAGAACATGCTACAAATCTCCATTTGGACAGAGTACATAGCTGTCTAGATCATGCATAGAAATTATCAATATTGCTTGAAATTTTATTGCCAGAAAAAAAAAAAAACAAAAAAAAACAAAAAAAAAACAAAAACAAAAACGAAAGATGCGCACAAAAACACCTTAAGTTTCTATCTTTGTTCTATCCCCTGTCTCCGACCCCAATCTAACTACATGCTTCACAAATTCATTCAAATTCTTGTCCGAACTTCCACCCTCTTTAATGGCATCGAGTGCTGCCCTACTTAGCTCCTTAGCTCTCTCCCTTTCAACTCGGGTCTCGTCACTCACTGATTCCATCAGTACTCGTGCCATCTTAGCCGAGTCAGGCACTACTTTTGCACCTTCACACACCCTTTTAGCCACCTTCAGCTCATCAACTAATAAAGTAGCACCCACAAATTGGTCAGCCGCCATGGGCCATGCTAGCATTGGCACCCCTGCCACTATCCCTTCAAGGATCGAGTTCCACCCACAGTGCGTCAAGAACGCCCCCACGGCACGGTGACTCAATATCAATACTTGCGGAGCCCACCCCCATACGATAAGTCCCCTTCCAGCCACACGATCTTCAAACCCCGATGGGATCATGCTATATCCTTCTCCCACATGTTCCTTACTGGGCTCCTTCACACTCCATATAAAACGGACCCCACTTTCCTCCAACCCTGATGCAACCTTCTCCATTTGATCATTTGTCAGGAGAGCTTGACTCCCAAAGCAGACATAAACTACCTTATGATACTCACACGTGTCAAGCCAGGTCATCAAATGATGCATCGAAACAGAACTAGATCCACCTCTCTCAATGGGTCCAGATTTATCATTTCTGACAGGGAGTATCGGTCCAACAGCATACACACGATCATGACCCAATTCCTTTCTAAAATGATCCAAATAAGTCCCTTCTAACGAAGTGGACGAGTTAACGACGAGTCCCCAACTCGCTATGTTAGCTAGCATCCCTTCTTTGGTGAATTCCGAAACTGGGTCTCCCTCAACATAGCTACGATAAAGCGGAGAGATCTGCCACCATGGATATTTTGGACAACTTGGAATCTTGGAAAACGAAAACAATTGATTTTGATCCTTTGGGGCCTTGGGCATATCTCGCCAAAGTGAATACATCGTGGCTAATGCCATGGCACCTGAGGGAGAGAACACGAAACGTCGAACGCCGAGCTGACAAGATAGATGGTGGGTCCACCCTAAGAACATATCGGAGATTATTGCGACTGGTGGTGAAAGGTGGGATTTGAACCAGCTAAGCAAAGGTTGGTAGAGTTCACCAAGGGCATGTATCATGGTAATAGAACCAATATTTGGAGGCAAGTCCTTGGCGTTTTCGATGCCGAATGGGATTGCGGGGTGATTAGGGAAAGGAAGGACAAGAGTTTTGATTGTTGGATTTTTGGAGAGGAGAGCGTTTAAGAGAGGGAGGTTTTTTGGAGTGACCAGGATGGTTATGGTTAGGCCCCGGGTGACTAGTTGGTCAGCTAGATCTAGGAGAGGTATCATGTGGCCTTGTGCTGGAAAAGGAAAGACTAAGACATGTGCTCCAGTGCTTAAAATTGTCATGGTGATTTGAGGTTTGGAGTTTGAGAAGATGAGTAATTAAATCAGAGAAAGCTAATGAGACAAAAAGGTTAAAGTTTCTTGTTCAGAAATATGTATACTGTTTTTGGTAAGATTTGCAAAGATAGTTTGTTGAACAATACTGAGAAAGATATTTGAAGAGAAGGGAAAGAAGCTTCGAGGAAGGTTGGAGAAGAAAGGGAAGAGAACCTGGTGCTCTTAAAATACGGTGCCGCTGGTTCAATTAATATATTTATTAGCCAGTACCATCATATAACGAAATATTCCTTTGGATGGGTCAAATTGATATTTGAGGTAATACACTTTGAAATTGTTGTGATATGATACCTAGTTTTGATTAATAGAGAAACTGATCTGAGTTTTTTTCCCATTTGTTAAAAACAAAAATATTAATTCATTGCTCTCTTGTATGGAGATTCTATATTTCCCGAATATTTAGGGACCTTAATTGCCCATAAAAAAGAGATGATTGTGCAAAGCAAATATAACTAGCAAATTAAAATTGATTTTGGGATGCATGCATTATGATCCCTCCAGATTCTATCTGATTCTCTTAAGAATGATCTATCATTTTCTTTCAGCCTAGATCTTCCAAAATAAATGAATAGCTAGATCCAACATCCCGTATTTACTAAATTACATATTAAAATTAATATACTTTCTATTAATACGTATCTTTCATTTATAATTTGGGTTTTGTCTATATATATTGTCACTTTATTTTTTTAATTGCTAGAATTAAAATCCTGTATTCATTTTTGTATTGGTTGAGTTCTTGTATTCTTCATTTTATTTTGTTTTTGTCCTTCCATTATAATGTAGTTAGTTGTGAGCAGAGGAGATGCTTTCGCTCCTAAAAATGTGACATATATCATGCGTGGAATTCTAATTAAAAAATTCAATTAAAACAATGACTTCAATTAAAACAACTCAAATAATATGTGAGTCAAATTATTATCATTATTATTATTTAATTTTTATATTTTTATGTCATTGTGTTTTTAAAATCTCATCTTGAATGTAGTGAAACATGTCATATGTGACACTTCATTTTAGTAAAACTCTAGAGAGTAATTTTTTAAAAAGTTATTATAGTAATTTAAAAATAATAAAATACACATAAAACAATTAAGACAATTTAAGAAGAGAATTAGTTTTCCTACACACTTACTTTTTATATTCTAAGACTTTTTTTTTTATTTACGTATATTGTTATAAGCTAATATATAGAGACTTCGAATATTTAAAATAAAACAAGGATAACTATATACATAAAATAGCTTAACCTTCTAACAATTAGAACTCTAGCTTTATCTCGTCGGTTGGTCTTGCGATCACTAGTTTTATCTTATATAAAAAGAGTTTTAGTTGATAGCTTTGAATTTGTTGTTAAAGGATTATAGGCATGCTTTCTTAAAACTCCCGTATAAATAGATTGTGGTCTTTGGACAACATTCAGCTTCTCATGCAAGAACCGAAAACGCACGCAAGACAAAGGCCTAGTCGAACATCTGCTATTTGATCTTGTCCTAAAATAAATTTAACTAGTGGCACCCTCTAGACAACATGTCTCTAACAAAATAAAAATCTAAAATAAATTTAACTAGAGGCACCATCTAGACACCATGTCTTTGACAAAATAAAAATCTATCTCAATTTACTTTGTTCGTGCATGAAACACATGATTTACTATCAAAATAAGTAGCCCTTATATTGTCACACCAAATCGTTGGCGATTGAGACCGAAAAATTCCAACTTCACCAAGGAGAGCTAGCACCTAAGAAAGTTTAGTGGCCAAATCATCCACTACCTTCTACTTAGCCTCAGCTGAACTTTTTGCTACCATCTTTTGTTTAAAGAACTTCCATGAAATCAACTTATTGTCGAGGTATACAACATAACCTCACGTTGACTTCTAATCATCTAAACATCTTGCCTAATTAGAGTCGGAGAACCTATGAATAACAAAATATAAGGTTTTTATGATGTGAAGACCATGATCAATTATATGTTTTAGGTAGCATAAAATGTGTTTCATGACTTTCTAATGATCCTTTTGCGGATTGTGCATGAAATTGACAAACCTTATTAACAACAAACACAATATATGTTCTTATTAAAATAACATATTATAGGCCCCCTAATACTTGACGGTATTTAGTTGCATCTTTAAAAGTTGACTTTGAAATCTTACTTGGTTTAGAAGTGGTCGTCATTGGTGTAGAAATTGGTTTACTAAATTACATCCTTTTTTTATATAGAAGGTCTTTAATTTATTTATGTTGGGATAAAAGAAGATCTTGCTTGGTTTGTATAGCCTCAATGCCGAAATAGTTGATGTCCTTTAAGTCTTTATTGCAAACTAGTTGTTCAAAGCTATAATTATCAAATCTAGAAAGCTTTGAACATAACATGTGATGAGGATATCGTCAACATAGATGAGAAGAAGAACCCGCAAACCCTTGTTGTTATAAATAAAAAAGAAGCAATCTGTCTTAGAGCTTGACCAAAAATTGAGGTGAAAGTCATAAAGACAAGAAAACCAAGCCTTTGGGAATTATTTTAACCCATAAATTGACTAGTGTCTTTTACAAAACATAATTTAGAACCTACTTATCTATAAAATGCATAGTTTGTGCCATGAATACATCTTTATGTAGAATGCCACTAAGAAAGACATCAAGTTGCTTGACCTTCAAACTAGAAGATATTCAAAAGCAAGAACATAATGAATCATGGCGAGTTTTACAACCGGACTTAATGTCTTGCCATAATCAATAGCTTCTTATTGATAGAATCCTTTGGCAATCAATTGTGTTTTGTAATGTTCTAAGCTACCATATGTTTGCTTTTTTTGTTTTTTTTTTCTATTAAAAACACCCACCAGCTACCAATTATGTTAATTATAACGATTAAATGAACCAAAGACCATGTGTTATTCAAAGGGAGTTTTTTAATATCAATAGACATTACTTTTGTCCATTCAATAAGTTTTCATGCCTCATTATAACATGTAGGAGATTAAAAAATTATAGGTATAAACACCGTCAAATAAGTATATGGATGAAAGGTTTTGGACATAGATCGAAGGATCATATGGTGCTGGCGAAGAAGATGAAGTTACCCTTGTTGAACAACTTTTTATGAATCAAGAGCAATGACTTGAGAGCTTAAGTTAAGAATCGGGTTTAAACCATAGGAATTGGAGTTATTGTTGTTATGGGATGATGGTGAAGCAATAATTGGTCTAGAATAAACATGGGTTAGGGATAATTTTATGGAGAAGAAACCAAAGTATTTGATAAAATAATATCATGGGACGTATGAGAAGGAAGATAGGTGGTAGTATTTATATTTTGGAAAGGTAATGATTGTGCAACAAATTATTGTGTTTGACATAAAGAAGTAGATGGAATTGTTAATATAGGTGCCCAAGATCTAACCTTGATTAGATGGTTTAACTTATTGTAATATTGCATTCTTTATTTTATTAATAAAAAAGTCTTATACCAATTCTTGTTGTTTGTAGTTTGATAGAATTAGATAGAAGTCCATATGATATGCATTGCATTAATGATTGATTGAAAGATATGAGACAAACATTAATGCATTTAAATGATATCCTTAAATTTCTCAAGTCATAGCATTGTCAAGAATAGACATTGACTATATACGGTAAGAATTATGACTTTTATGCTCATGCTATAAGATAGTAGTAGGAGATCTCACACCTATTGGCATGGGAACGCTAAAGCCGACATTTAGATAATTGATGTTAGAGAACATATCACTAGATTTGACTCGCCATGAGAACACATTTGGTTTAGTCTATGAGAATCTCATATGAGATGAGTACAACTAATCCTTTGACTTGAAGTCATCACGATTATCTCATTTGAGGATTTATGTACTTTAACATTCATTTCGACGAGCTTAGTCAAGAGTTGCATATAAGCAATTCCTTAGGTGTATTAAGAATCTAATGGAGATAAATGGATGATTAAGACAAAGCATGTCATTTCTTATATGCTAAAGGAGTTATCTCATTCCACTTCGATAAATATTTACTCAAGGAATCTATGGTCATAGTAGGAGTACACCAATAGAGTATAGTTGGTTTACTCTAGAGTTAAGACATTTGAGAATTGAAGAAAACTTGTGTGATTATAATTGAACACACTAAAAACCAAGTTTGAGATCACACCATGATAAATTGACATAAGGACTAAATTATATGATAACCATTCTCGTGAAAGATAATTACGGATTAATTAATCCTCTTAGAGAATTAGGTAGTCATGATGCATTATTAAAGACCAATCTTGATTTATGTATCAAGTGACAAAAGGTGTCTTTTATTCTTGATGCATTACCAACATATCTAGGAGCCTATTGAGTTACAAGCATAAGTTTAAGAATTCACATAATAAAAGAGAGGAAAAGATTTTGGAAAAGATTTCCAATATTGAAAGTTTCCTATTTTGGAAAAAATTTCGAGAAAATAGAAAGTTTCTGTTTTGAAAAAAGTTTCATTAAATGAAAGTTTCCTATTTTAGAAATCAGTTTCCTAATTTAAAAGTCGGTTTCAAATTTGGAATTAAGTTACCTAAAAAGAAAATTAGTTTCCTAATTTAGATTTAAAGGTAATTTAAAATTTTTTTTCCTAATGTAGGCTTCCTAAAAAATATATAACCTAATTTTTTTAGGTAGTTCAAATTAATTACCGATTAATTAGGCAAAATTTTTTTAGGCCAATAGGTTTAATTTAAAAACCTATAAGATATTTTGATAGGAGGATAAACTTGAGCCCTATTAGATAAAACTTAAGGTTTATAAGGATAAGATTAAAGCCCACGTGTAGTGCAACTCCTAGTCCTTAGAGGATTAGGAAGCCATAACCTAGAGTCTATATAGGACTTATTGCCACCATTTTCTTATCCTTGGAGGATAAGGAAGCCACACCTCTATAAATTGAAGAGAA